AACCCTTGACCTTGGTGTTATCAACACTGCACTCTAACCAACTGAGCTAACTGGCCAGCCCAAGAGGTGAATTACAGACTTAAGATTCCAGAGGTAGAGCCTTTTTAGAGGCCGAGGGTGAAAGCCAAGGGAACAGCATACAGAAATGAAGTGGAGGTGATGATCCATGAGATCATCAGGGAGATGATAAGGCAGATGAAGGATGGATTTCAAACCAAGGCAAAAGCAGCACGTGACACGTGAAACCAAAGTAAAGTAACAAAATTTTAAAAAGTGAAAGCCACAAGGAGAGGAAAGAGGTAAGAAAGTCACATCTTTCCACAATTAAGCATGGATCTGAACTCTCCCCAGATACGATGTTGGCCAGGAACTGTGCCTGCAAGGGGGCTGTTTAGTTTAACCCAACTTGCAAAAGCTCTCCTAGGTTCAAACAAATGTGCCAAACTCACTCTCTACTGTTCTGTGGAAGTAGTAACACAATCTTGCACAGATGTAACTGGGCCTAGAGGAAACTAAAAGGCAATTGCTAGTCAATGTTTTTCAGATGTTTCACAGCTTTTTTGGTGGCCCATGAGAGTGGCGGTGCTTTCTGGACCTTATGAGCTCTTCCTGCTGCTTCTGATTTTTTCTCTCTTACCTAAGACTTGAACCTGTCATCCTCTCTGCTCCCCAGTCAGTCCACCTGTTTCTTCCCTGCCTTTCTTCATACAACTTTTCTTTGCAACTCCTCTAAAACACAAGAGAAACTTTTCTCTGTATAATGGCTAGTATAATTTTTTCTGCACTTCCTAGTTGGGCTTCTCCGCTTCATTTGGAATTCTAGCTCCCTGAAAAAAAGCCTCGGTGAAGCACCAATGTGTTTGTGGTGCTGCTTCCAATGACAGCACAAAGGTGGAAGTTAGCCAGACTATTGTTAACAAGAAAAAGTAGACAGACAAAAAAAAAAGTGGTAATTCTGAAATAACAAGTGAAAAGCACCTCTTTCTGAACAGCATTCCAACAAAAAGCAGAACAGCAGCCAAGCCTCCACTACATTGGCCATAAACTTGACATGGCATTT